CCGACAGAGCAGGTCGCCACTCGTCAAAATGTGCACGTGAATCGACGCGACGTGAACCTTGTCTTACTTTCTTCAAGTTTGATAAAATCGTTATACGCTGTTTATTTATCTATAGTTTGAAATGACGGAGTCGAAATACCCGCAACAAGTACACTGGATACAGTTGTGTTGTGAGTCGAGAGATGCGGAGAGGAGTGTTGCGGTTTCAACCGTGACTGTGGCTCCGCCACCGCCCGCCGCAGCCAGCGGGGCGCCGGAGAGGTAGGCGGCCCTCGCGGCGCGGGGTGAGGCGGGCGGCCTACTCGGCGACTCGCAGGCGCCCCGAGGGGAGCGCAATGGCAGGGGGCACGAGAAGGGCGTATTAGCAGGAGGGAACGATGTCGTAAGAATTGTTGGGAAAACACTGTAAATGGGTTGGCGTCTTATGACGCCAAAATTTGGCGTATGTTAGGATTTGGCGTCATAGGACGCCAAAATTTGGCGTCATACGACGCCAGAATTTGGCGTCATAAGACACCAATATTTTGGCGCGTCAAGAGACGCCAACCGATTTACAATGAAGTACTGCTGGCGCTGGCAAGCCTCTCTGTCCATCCGATAGGAGGTGCGCTGCCCTGGCGGCGGGGTTGATAAAGTTAGCTGTACCTATTTTTTTTTCTTTATGATTTTTCATTTTGTTGCCGTTGTGTACCTCACTGAGCAAGTCAGGAGAAGAAACGAGGTGATGGTTAATAGGGGGGTTGGCGTCACCCGCCCCGCGCGCAGATCCCGCCCACCGCCGCCGCCGCCTTTCTCCTCGTGGAAAAGGCGGCCCCTCCGCTGACGGCGCAGACGGCGCGGCGCGCGCGGGGCACACTCGGCGACAGGCTTACTCCACGCCACACGACTCGAGGAGCCACCGAGATTTACTTTAATTAAAATTGTATTAAACATTTCCCTTCAAATGACTCACTCCTCTCCGCCGCCCCCCTTGCTCTCCACAGCAGCCTGTCCTCTCGCCGGCTCCTCTCCCTCTCCCTTTTGCACCAGCTTTCCCCCACGGCTGCGTGCGAGATAGGGCCCTCGCGGAGCCGCGGTGGAGGTGCAGGCCGCGCCTGTGAGGCCGGCGGACCCGGACGCCACCCGGACGCCACCCCGGCCGTGTTTTCCAGAAATGAACCGGGGCGACAAAAGTATTCTTCACTCGTCAGACGAGGTGATGAGGATGGGGGCGAAACGCGACACCGAGGCTCAGCGAGCAGCTCGCGGCCGGGCCACAGGCCGGGCCACAGGCCGGGGGAGAGCAGGGAGAAAGGCAGGGGCTTAATGAGTGGGGTTTACACTGAAATTTGAGGTAATGGAACAAAACCTGGTGCAGCAGCGCGGTTGGATGTGCCTTTTGGAATGACGTTATGTTGGCATTGAACCCAGCCTAATGCGGCGCGAGGACGCGCACTTTGCGGATTGCTTGTTTATTTAATTTAATTGCGGTTACCGGCGAGTGAACCGCACTCGAGGTTGCGGCTTGTGGGATGCCAGTAAATTATGTATGCGTCGTGTTTGACATTGGTTTTTCGTGTGTGGGACCTGTAGGACGCGCGAGTCGTCATACAGGGTGGGTAAGCCGGACTTTTCTTCTCTGGTTATACATTACCGCATGCAGGCGGGAGTGGGAGCGGGCTTGCCTACCGACTCTAACCACGGCGTCTTTATGGCCCCGAAGTATGTGACCCGTCCGCACGCCTGCACGCGGTGCGGTACAGTATAACCCGAAACAAGTGCGCCGGAGAACACCCACCCTGCTTGTTGCTGACCCAAAAGTGTCATTAGTACACACAAGAAAGTGTGTATACTATGGCAAGTACCTGGAAGGCAGATTTTACAATGGCAAGTAACTCTTGCTTGTGTGTAACCTGGCAAGTACACTCTTCCTTGTGTGTAACCCGGCGAGTACACTTTTCCTTGTACCTTCGAAGTACACTGTTGTTCTCGCAGCTGGTATGTAAAAGAACACGTACTTCAGTACAACGGCACCTGTCCCGGCCCCTGTCCCCTCTCCGCGCGCACCTCGACCTCGCGACCACGACCGGCAAGAGGTCACCGACTTGTAGTGGTGAGGCGGCTGCGGCTGTCCCTGTCGTGAATGTCACCCCCCGGTGTAACACGACGCAGGCCTAATAGGGGGGGGGG